AAAAAAAAAAAAAAAAAAAACTAGCAACCCGAAGGTTCCAGGATCGAATTTCGACGAGTCCAACTTTTCAATCATCATTATCAGTGGTTATCGGTTTCTTCAGGAAGGATTAGTTGAAGAATGCAAATTAAATCATAAAAAAATCATGTATTAATTAATTTTTTCAACTATTAAAAATGCGTATTGGGTGGGTCACGGGTGCCGATTATCGGCCGACACTTGGCAACCACTATCGGCCCAACGTTATCAAACCAATGGCTAACCGAGGCTGGGCCAAGGCCGATTGAGGATCGGCACCCAAGATTCGGCAGCTCGGCTGCCAGTACTAGCCCAATCTTGGCCCGTTTGACTTTTCGTCCCCGGGGTACTACACCTTCTCGGCCAAAATTCAAGTTTTTTTCATTTTTCTGGCAAATTTTTAATCGGATTGACGCGAAATAATATACCGTTTTTGCAATTTACAATTATTGACTGACTAACGCAGTTTCATGGTAGTGCAATCATTTTCCTGCACTTTTTCTAAAGTTTTGTTAATTTCCGAAAAGTTTTACAAAAAACACAGGAAAATGATTGCACGATCATGAAATTTAGTGAATCATTAAGTAATGGAAAAACGCAAAAACGGTATATTTTTTCACATCAATCCGATCAACAATTTACCAGAAAAATTTAAAAAACTTGAATTTTTGTGAAAAAGGTGTAATACATCCTTAAGGCTGAGTGGAGACTTAAATTTCACCGCGGTCTCCCCTTGAATAAAAGAAAAGTTTCAATCGTTGATTTCAAGGTGATCTCCACGTTTTTCGAGAAATTTTCACTTGGAGATTTTTTGCAGATCCGTTCTCGTTCTCCCACTCCTCTAAAATTTTTGAGTTGATATTTCATAAGCAGATGTAATGCAATTGCTCAAATGCTGGGATCTTGTGAATACAGCTTCATCAATGCTGAAGACTCCCTTCCGCACAGTTGATTCGACTGCTCAATCCACTCTTCGTGGGTGTTACTCGCTGACTCATCACTTCTAACACATGGTTTAAAAATATTTTGAATTCCACAACCTTGCACATCACACTTGAACGTGAGGTTGTGAAAACGGCTCGCGTACCTTCGAAACTAGATTTTTCAGTTCAAACACTCGAAATTTCAACCCCCCCGATGAAATTAACAGACGGGTTCCAGTAATAACAAAAATCTCACATTTTGTCCGTTAAACCGTGCGAAACTTAAGGGTTAAAAGTCCGAGCAATCCCCGAATAAATCAAAAACCCTTAAAACGATTTTTTCCTCCACCCGAAAAAAAAGCATTTTTTCAAACCCAAAAAAAGGATTTTAACCTTTTCATTATTCTCGAGGGACAAAAAGCAACAATGCCCGGAATGACCACAGAAATTAACCCTTTCATTCAATTTTTCTTGATTTTAAAAAATTTATACGATCCAATGGGGTTCCCTCCATCAAAAATCGAGACGACCACGAACCACTTGGCCTTTTAATACATTTTTCAACCCCTTTTGCCTCTCAACCCTTTCCCCCAACCTTTCCCTAAATTACATTTTTTCATGGAACTAATATCATCGCATTTCTTCGTAAAAGCGTGAAAATTTGCGATACGACAGACGTTCCATCCCCCCCTCCCTCCTTCCTCCCTTTTTCTTCCCCCCTTTCATCTTCCTTTGTTGTTTTTTTTTCTTCCGTTTTTATTTGAAATCCAACTCTTGCCTGCGCCCCTCTTTCCCACGGCAGAATCCTTTCTGGCTTTTCCCAAAAAATACTTGCACCGGCCCTACGTCAGCATACACATAGGGGTGCTCAGATGCTAGCTGCCCGGTTAAAGGGAAATAACACAAGTTTCACCGGGAATAAACGCTCACGCATTGTTGTGATTTCAAGAAAAAGCGGGGGATTTTTTTTCTACTGACAAATCTTGATGGACGTGAAAGGAATGAGTTGGTGGATAAAATGGGTTCAAGTTTTTCTTGGTGATTTTATTCTATTTTGCTTCATTTCTCATTTTTAGAATCAAATATTGTGAAGATGTAGGAGGTGAGTCGCAGGAGAATCTAGTGGTCTTTTTTAGGAAAGCAATCGCTGAGTGAATAGAAAAATATTTTCCAGTTCAACCATTCCTCCATATTCAAATACTTTAATGTTTAAAATATTTTTCAAAAACTTTTCTATTTATAGAAAGAAATTTTTCTATTTATAGAAAAATTTCTCTTTTTATCAGTATAAATTTTGAATTACGGTTAAATTCTGAACAAGTCGATTGTTAATATTATTCACCAATTTTTTCATTTTAAAAATAACCATCAATTTAAATTTTCAAATTCCGAATTATTTTATCAACCAATAATTGAGAAATTAAATTACAAAATTATTATATTATTTTTCAAATTTCAATTATGATAAATAAATCTCAAACAAGTCGAACAACACAGCTTTCATTTGAGCCCCATTAGACCCTATGTTTCCCGACATTTGACAATGATTTTATTCTTTAAACTTTGCAGGTCTCAACTTGAATCTCAATATAGAATCATTGGAAAATATTTTCAAAATTTGTAAAAAAAAATCAGAACGTTTACTTTCCACCATAAAAATCATTTGTTCGGAATCGTAACAAATTTATTGAGAAATCGATGTCATGCCCAAAAAGATAAGGTTTCCGGCAGTTAAAAAAATTTCCATTATTTATTTTTAAACAACGCATGTTGAAAAAAATCATAATTCTGTGCAAAATATAATTTTAATGACGCTGAATATTAATGCTTTTTTCAAATTTTTCTCACGGAATTTAATTGACAGATTTGACGATTAAAAATGATTGAATCTACAGTGTAGTCTCTACGAAACGGTAAAACATACTTGGATGTCTTTAAATAATTTAAAGTACTAATTTCTCTCAAAAAATCCCTTTGCATTTCAAAACAGAGTAATTGAAATCAGATGAATAGAAGGGGAGATAAGCTTATTTGAAGAAAAACTACTTGGAATCTCGAGAAAGAGTTTATGAGCATCACTCCGATTCAAATGATTTTTATTATCGTTAATTCGGAGGCGAACATGAATGATATTCTAATGTAGTTTTCCAACCACTAGTTCCGAACACGACATACCTCAAGTATCGGAATTTCAAATGAAAAAATTGGAGATTCTGACGCAGTGGAATTTGAAATTAACAAGAAAGATAGCATATTCATTATGAATGATAAACAGTACAGCTCTTGTGATACTAGAAATACCATATAAATATGAAGTCAAAACTAATTTCAAGTCAGATCATTGCAAACGGTATCTGCAAGTTAATTTGGATATTACGAGTCAAAAAATGATGAAGACCACCGATTTTCCGCAGAGTACATTTTCTGCATTGATCCTCACCGGCGTTGTATTGGCGGACGTAGCGGGAGTGATAATAAACAAAATTGTAGATGGAAATTTACCACAACCATTGACGCCTGGCGAGAAACTGTCAATACTGGATGCTTTGAGAGGGGTACCGTATGATCCGAATACTGTGCTAACGACGGTATGTATCTGATTACTCTTTCAATTATAATTAGTAGTCTCAATATAAGGACTATCCTAGTGGAGATTTCGCTCACACGGAGAAAAAAAAAGAGATAAATTACCGAACAAGTCACGTGATGGTGGAGCGAACTCGATTTTTCCTACTTATTCAGCCGATACTGTTAGACATTTTTAGAAATTTCATCGAAGAGATTAGAGCAAATCTCATGAGAGTGACATCGGATCGGATTTAGGGAAAAATTGTTATGAAATTCCAAATTTTAGGTAGAATTCAAGGAAATTCATGAGTTTTTAGTGGGAATGAGACGGAAATTTTATAACTTATTTAAATTTTGAATGGAATATAAATATTCAGAAACAAAATGACATAAATTTTCAACTTTCCTGAGTATTGCGAATTTTCACTGAATTTTGATGAAAATTCGGTTCTCAAAATTAAGATTCCAGAACTAAGGGTCAGAAAGTAAGATTCACAAGGGTCAAAATAAGGGTCACGAGAGTTATAATGAGCATTCGATTAAAGGTCATAAGGGTCAGATGAACGGTCACAAGAGTAAGAATGAGGGTAATGCTGGTCCAAATAAAGGTCCAAATGAGGCTCATGGGGGTCTCAGTAAGGGTTAGAATAAGGGTCTAAATAACGGCAATGAGGATTACAATTAGGAGCAGAATAAGGCTCGGGGATCATATAGTCATATCAAAATTTGGTTTTCCAAATTAAAACTCCAAAATTACGGGTCAGAAATGAAGGGTCAGACATGAAGGTATTGGGGGCGCTATGGGGGTGGAGGAGCAGAGCGAGCAGGGGGTGTAGCCCCCTAGTTATACTATATACTATACTCTATATGGTATATAACACATGCTCTATATACTATATGCATATATATTTTTTTTACGTTAATTTTTTTAACGGTAAAAATATATATATATATATATAGAATAGTATATATTTATATGTATAGCACATAATACATCCCTAAAAATAAAAAAGAACATAAAAAGCAAATGAGAAACGAAGAAGAAAATAGAGAGGATTATGGCGATTTCGGATAAATTATTCAACAATTACATTTTCATTGAGATAAAAATTAATGAAAGTGAGAAGCGGTAGTGATTAGAAAGATTTGAAACAATCGAAAATTGAAACAAAGAAAGATTTGAGAAAACAAAACTGATCAAATTCAATTTTCACTAATGCGTCGCCTATTATAGTCTCATTTGATTGTCCACTCGGGTATTCTAATCGCAAATTCACTGGCTACCTGTCAATTTTCCACAGCCCCAAATAATACGCCGAGCAGGATATCCCGCCGAAAGTCACACAGTTCAAACGGATGATGGATATCTCCTAGAACTTCACCGAATTCCAAATGAATTAGGATACCCAATATTTCTGCAGCACGGATTGCTCGGCTGTTCTACGGACTGGATCATGCAGGGGAAGGGCAGAGCTATAGGTGACCTTCTATTCCACGAAATGATCACGGACGAAAAAATTGAATAGAAAAACCTATCGAATTCATTAGAAAATTCTATTGAATTTCTATTGAACTGTTCTATTAGTTTTTGGCCGATTCTATTAAAAAAGAAAAAAAAGAGTGAAAAGAAAAGAACAAGTCTTCAATAGAAAATATTCAGTAGAAAAAGTCAATAGAATTCAATTTTTCTGTATAACTTATTCTATTGAGATATTTTCTATAGAATTTCCTTGGCTCAAATTTTCTAAGGTTTTTCGCTTGATTTTCTTGATGAGAAGAAAAGAAAAATAGAATGAAAAAAACTTAGAATGAAAAAACGAAAATTTAAGTTGAGCAAATTCTATAGAAAATATTTGAAAAGAATAAGTTATATAGAAAAATCGAATTCTGTTGACTTTTTCTATTGAATGTTTTCTATTGAGCATGTCAATAGAATCAGCCAAAAACTAATAGAAAGTTTAATAGAAATTTAATCGAATTTTCTAACGAATTCGCTAGGTTTTTCTATCAACTTTTTTCGTACGTGATGATTTTACATTTAATTTCCACTAATTTACATCGTGACTTATCCATCATCTCCTACTGCAGCATATTTATTAGCTGATAAAGGGTATGATGTGTGGCTGGGTAACTACAGAGGTAACACATACTCTGCTGCCCACATTACTTTACCCCTAGACAATCCCAAATTTTGGAACTTCTCTTTCCACGAGCTGGGAATTTACGATTTGCCTGCTATGATAACTTACGTCACTGATTACAAGCAAAAGCCAGTGATTTATATTGGTCACTCAATGGGAACAACGGGGATGTTTGTCATGGGATCAAACCGTCTTGATATACATAAAAGAGTTCGGTTTGTTATTTGCTACGCACCAGTTGGCCTTACTGCTCATTGGAAGGGTCCTATGCGTGCCATTGCACCTTTGGCTCCGGCCTTCACGGTAGTGTCGAGTAATTACTTTTCATCATACCGTGCGTAAAATCGAATTTTATGGACACTTCGTGTCCGTCAAACGCGGGTTACAGACAGGGTGAAGAAAAATTTGCTCCATCGTTCGGCTGAACAAACTTTTCTGACCTGTGTGATTGCAGGTCTCGGCTTCGCCTCGGTCTGCAACCTTCACACTCGTCCGAAAAGTTTTTCTCGGCATTGTGACGAAAGTATACATTGATTGGGTGATCAGAACGACTGATGATGCCCATTTTTTCATGTTCGAAGGCTCTGGGTGATACCTTCGGCTACGGTCCATTCCTCACTCGGGATGCCAAGGTCAATACCTTCACGAAATATATATGTGATGCATCCAAACTTGAAGAATTCGAGTGTGAAAATATGGACTTTGCAATATTTGGATCCGATTACACCCAATTTGAGGTGGTGAGTCACAAAGAGTCAATTTCACTCTTAGATTTGTAAGTTCTGAAAAATATCTCATTAAGGTAAATGTACCTACACTGTTAAAAATTTCTTGAAATTGCAGTCACAATGTCATCTGAATTTCTAATGTTGTGAGTTTGAATTCAATTTCAATTGAAAACGTTCACTAAATTTCTCATTCATCTTGAAAATTCAAGAAAATTTGATTTTTCGTATTAAAAAACCATTGATTTTTCAATGAAAGCTTGAATTTTCAAATTCATCGTGGAAATTGAACATCAAACATAATTGAATTTTCAATTTATTGAAAATTCAATTATGTTTGAGAGAAGTTATTGCCTGAATTGTCAACATTATCAAGGTTTTTCAGTGCCGTATGGATCTGAAAATCGAGAATTACTTGAATATTCAAGAAATTAACTGATTTGTCAATGAAAAATTCTACAGAAATTTCATGTTACTTTATCGTTGTTAAAAATTTAAAGTTTTTTCACTTGAAATTTCAAGTGTAATTTTCTAACAGTGTATACTCGTCCCTGTTTCTATGCAAGTGAGTATTTATAGACATTTATAGACGATTATTTATTAAAAAATAGTAGTTATCACGATTAAGGTATTTCGTGCGAAAAAGGTAAATAATGAAATTCATCTGGAATTCATATAGAATGTTTATAATCACAATTGAATTATCTATGAAATTTCCTAGAATTTTTTCAGATTTCCTTTTCAAGTAATTGACGATTGAAGTCGCTTCTTATACATGAGTTGTTATGGAGATTTTTCTGTTTAGCACGAAACTGCGGTGCCATCTGAGGTGATAATATAGTTCTATGCTAAACTGAAAAATCTCCATGAGAGCCCATGTATAAGAAGCAACGTCAATCGTTAATAACTTGAAAAGGAAATCTGAATTTTTTTTAGCAAAATTCATGGATGATTCCGTAGCGAAGTGGTAAAACGGTACAAGTCAATTTTGAATATTGACCAGTTTTTAATGAATATCTTGGAATGTAAGGGAGATAGTAAAATTTTTGTTGTAACCTTTTTCTAGAGCCGATTGAGAGCTACAACAAGTGTAATTACGAAAATTTCGCTATCTTCCTTAGAGTCCGAAATATTTTTCAAAAACTCAACTGGGAGATAAGTCGACTTAAACCGTTTTATCACTTCGCAAAACGTGATTTAAAAAAAAAATTGACATTTCATGTAGCCCTAGGCCATCAGATCAATAGTAATGTTCTCAAATGGAGGCTTATGACACTGTAGTTTAGATGAGAATTCAAGTAAATCCAAAAAATTTCAAGTATAGATCAGCTGGAATTTTTTCAAGTTACTTGAATTCTTTTAATTTTCACTTTCACACCGACTTCTGAATTTTCAATTGAGAGATTGCTTAATATTACATCTTTTAAGAATTTTTGAGATATATAAGATTTATAAGGAAGAATTCACGTTCAAAATGCGCTACTCCTTTCAGATTGAAAAATATTTGTCGACAAAAGTGACTCAAATTGTTCAACCACCGAATGAATTTTTCAGAGCACATGTAATTAATTTTGTTGAATTTTTGTAGAATTTAATTCCGACCATTACTTCTCATACTCCAGCGGGTACATCGACGAAAGCTCTAAATCATTATCTACAAATGTGCAATTCGAAAAGATTCGGATACTATGATCACGGACCAGTGAAAAATCTAGAATTTTATAAGACACCAATTGCCCCTGATTACAACGTATCGAAAAATACTCTGCCGATTTTCATGTTCTATGGTCTCAATGATAAGGTGGCCACTGGTGTGGTAAGTCAAAGCATTTTGCATCAATCTTTAGAAGGACGATGGGCAATAGTATATTTTGTAATACCTGCCCAATAGTAGATTTTTAACCTAGGGAGACGAAATACGGGACTCATGCCCATGTGCGGAATTACCACTCTAGCCAAGGCGAGTATGGCAATCCACAAGAGCTCATATGATTGCAATATTTATATTCGCCAGAGAAGTTTTTTTCGGCCTAATGATGAATACTATTTTCTGGACGAGGAAAAAACCCCCATCGCAGCAGCCCGGGACAAGATTTTTTTGTAGTGATTTTCAAGTTTTCCAGTTTGGGAAGTATGCAATATCAATTCCCAGACGAAAAATCGTGAGAAGCAGTACAGAAAATGAACTATTTGCGCACTCGTATCGAAATATATTATTTCCGCTCGACCTCGTACAGTAGAGTCTCCCTAACTTCTCTGCTCTTCAACTTCTCGGCGATCAGCGACAGCCGAGGCGAGTGTTCCTTCCCTCTGAGCACCCCAAACGTGTGTGAGTGCTGTGTGTGTATTTCTCTGCGCTCGCCGAATGCGCAGTAAACAGTTTCTGCTCCCGCACGTTTTTCGTGCTCCATATGTTTCATAACCTCTTACTCTCACTCTACTTGGACGACACCCCTCTATAGCGATAGAGTGTGGATGGCTGCAACCGCTCATTTCGTGGAATTTATAGCCCCGAGGTGGTGAAGTTAGGGACACTCTACTGTACACAAAAATAACCACATTATCCCCATTATCGTTCTGAAGAGTGAACTTGGTAGGTACCACAAAAAATAGGACGTGTTACATGTGCGTGTGAAAAAGTGGAACCTTGCGCACTAGTAATACAATATTCTATTTCATCACGTATGCGTAAAATGAAATTTTACAAAATTCCACCTTCCACATGTTATTTTAAAAAATAGGATTCGGCACTCGTGGAAAAAGTGTTTTTTGATCCTTGGGAGGTACTCGCTACAGACAAGTGTCACACACCTTCCATGAGTCAAAAAACTGTGCTGAAAAGGCTTCGCTTTATGCACTCGAAATTCACTTTACGCACGTTCGTGAACTTTACGCATGCCGTGCGGAAAACAACCGTTTTACGCCCACTAAACCGTTTCGAAAAGTGCACTTTTGAGGTAGGTATCATAAGAAAGGGATTATTCACGTGATGGGACAACATTGTTCGATTTTAGGTTGGTCGTAAGCAACTCATAGTACGTCTCGTAGATCGCATGCGTTGAACCGTCATGCGACCGTACGATTTCAACTCGAGAATAGTCTTCCAGGAACCACTTTTCTCACGAGTGTCATCGTTACTTTTCCACTTTTACTCACAGCATGAGGAAAATTGGCTTTACACACGACCTTGAGCTTGGCGCACTCCGTACAAAAACGGACTTTTACTCCCGAAGCACGCTCGAAAAGTAGACGCTGTGGCGTTACAAAAAAAAAGAATATTTTACGCGTGCGTACGAAAAAGTGCAGCTTGACGCACTCGTTACATAGTACACTATTTTCTACTTTTCAGGATGCTAAAAATTTCTACAATCTACTGCCCAATGGAAAAGGGATAACCCCAGTCAATTATCCCTGGTTCACTCATCTGGACTTCATCTGGGGAAAAGACTCCAGATCATTGCTATATGAGCCAACAATAGATATTATTCAGGAAGTACTCTCGGACGGTCCTGTTTAGTATGTTTAATGTGATGAGTGACAATGTGAATGTAGGGAACTTTCAGGAAGCTTAAGGATATCCAAGTACTTCGTTCAAATTGGCAACTTTTTTTCAAGCAAGATTTCAGTTTTGTTGAAAATCTTGCCGTCCCCATACTTTTTCGGATTTTTCATTATTGAATACATTTTTTCAGGAATTTCTTCAATGAATATTGTGAACAATATTTTATTCAATTTCACACTTGACTCTCGTTGGTCTAACCTCTAATGATCATACGGCAACACTGCACATGTGTTGTATATAACCTCGTAAATACGGTCCGAGTAGTCACTTGAGCGGACTGTTGCCAGACGTTAGGAACGCACGGATTCAAACCACCCAATATGGCCGTCGTCCCAATCAAGAAGCTTTTAATTTGATTGTTTGCAATTATCTGTCCGGAAACTTATGTTTTTTAATGTCCCAAAAAAACTAGAGAGTGTAACGAACAAAGTCATATACGGTTATGTGTACGAGAAAACGCTTTAAGACTATGAACTATTGGATTGAAGGTGGGAGTATACAGCTCTTATGGACACAATGTGTTAAATTTCATTCTTTCAAAAATAGTTTTCTCGAAAATATGTTCGGAAACTAAAGTTTATACTGCACCTAAAAAATACTCTTGGTCTAGTCTATAAACTCTGAAGGGGATTTCCCCCAGAAAAAATTGCCTGAACTACTTGGATATCCTTAATGGCTCTCTATTCTTTTTTGGCATTCTGTATAACAGTGGAACATCCGAACCGCAAATAATATTCTGAAAAATTAACAGCACCCGATGAAAAAGTTGTAAATTGGCTGGTTTAGAAAGGAAACAATAACAATTGAGAACTTGAACTCAATGCGATATAAGGAAACGGAGGGAGTCAGGGCAACAAGAACTATATCTCTATAATTACAAAGGGTTACGAGGAGAAACGGGGGAAGCCAATTCGAGAGAACGCTAAATGATTTCGTACAATAAAATGTCACTGAACACAAAATTTGATTTATTGCCATTTATTTTGTTTAAATCATCCACTTCATCAAATAATCCTCGGAAATATAATGTTCAAAAGTTTGTCATATAAGAGGTATTATTAATTATTATCAGAAACATGTCATGGCGATACAGTCTATCGTACGAACCTCCTCGCACCTCATTAATTCCTTATCTCAGAATATAAATAATAATTCATGTTATACAAAAAAAATTCCACAAGGAGAGAAAAAGTGAGAATTTTCCGGAATAAATTTTGATAAAAGTGACAGTGATCAGTGATGTATAATAGAGTGCACGGAGAGAAAAGTTGAATAAAAAGTACTAGGGAATCGTAGCAAATTTCACTAGGTATACCTAGTTCGTATATATACGAAAGGTAATTGTGGAAAGAAATTGCAGTTCAATAAAAAATGGCGCGTTCATTTCATACACTTTCCGCATAAATTTAAAAAATTCAGCGTAACAGTCGGATTACTCTGACAACTTCCAGAGGATTGATTGAACATCGATAATTACAATGAGAACGAAAATTTCTAATACAGTAGAGGCTTCGTATGAGATACCTCGCACTTCCCGGGTAGAAATCACGCCGCTCGAGCTCGGCTCGGAACCCGTATCCCAGCTAGAAATACGCCACTCCGCCCCAGCTTGGGATAAACTCCACGCGCGTGATATGTACCCGAGGTTGAGCCGCGTCACGCGCTCACAGCCCAGCGTTAGACTATTACGCGAAACGCTTCGCCGGGCTTTAGTTGAATGGCCACTACTCAACCTCAGGTTCATCTCCAGTTACTCAATCCCAGTATACTTAACCTCAATAATGATTTGACAGGTCCGATAGCATCGTGATTTGAGCGAAAAAACAATCGAATAAATATGAAGATGGCATGCTTTTTCAGATGAACAATCACAAGCTCATCAGAAATAACGTGATATTAACTAATCGAATGGGATTAATCTGAAAATACAAGGTAGAACAATTCACTGAAACGTAGTCAAAACTTTATTATTAATTTAACCTTTATTATTAATTATCAACGCTACAGGAGAGGATATTCTTCAGTTTTCGATAGGCCTACGAGTTCTAAGAATATTCTACGATTTATTAGGGAAATGTTGAATACAGGTATGCCAAAATAACACGCATGAAAAAATTTAACAGAAAAACCTAGCGCTTTCTATTGAATTTTTATTGGAATTCTATGAGAATTCTCTGGAAGTTCTATTAGAATTCTATTCGTTTCTTGCGCCGATTCTATAGGAGATTATGCAATTTCATAGAGTCTTTTTGTTAAGGTAAAATTTGGTGCAAGAAAGTAAATAGGTTTTTATGTTCCTATACATTTTCTTAGCCGTAAGATTTCTAAGTTTTTTCCGCTCGGTTTTTCTTCTTTTCTTTTAATCAAATGCAGGAACAAAACTTGGAAAATTCATGCCCAATAGTTTCTGTGGAAGAAATCCTAACAGAATAAATTACCTAGAAAAATCAATGGATTTTTTTCTACAAACAAATATCTATTAAAAATGCAGGGGAAAGTTGCATAATTTTCAATGGAATTGACGCAAAAAAAAATAGAATTTTTCAATAGAATTGCAATAAAACTTAAATAGAATTCTCATAGAGCTCCAATAGAAATTCAATAGGAATTCTTAGAGAAAGTGCCAGGTTTTATATTCGATGACAGAGGGAAAAATCAGTAAATTTTAAATTTTATAGAAAGCTCAGTGGAATTCCATTTTTTT